TGGCATTTTATTATATATACTCTGGATGGCATCTTCTCTACAAGTGGTAGCGAGCATCAGATTAATCTTACGAAGTCTGCGGTTAAAGATAATCCTGAATTACTACGAAGCAACGTAAAAAGGATAATTGGTATTATTGTTGGGTTGCTGAAGGATCGTGTTAGTGTAGATAATTCTCTGGCTAGCAAGAGGGCTAGGATCAAAAAGTTTATTAAAAAATAATATGTATCACAGGGCAGTCCCAAACTTGTATTTATTTTTTCGCTTGTAATAATAAAAATTTTTCTTGGCAAAAACCGTTCCCTCGGGGAACGATCAGCTGAGATAACCTATATATTTTACTTGACTGTTTCTATATATACTAACGAACTTTTGAATATTTCCGTTCTTATATAAAATTTATCAATATCAAACACTCAATCCAACGATTCATTAAGGGAATTAAATGCCAAGCTCTTAGCTGAGATTGGCGAACTTAGGAAGAAGTTTGCTGAGATTAAGGTCGAAAATGATAAGCTTAAGGATAAGAATACTGAGATCCCTGAACTTAGAAGGAAGTTCGCTGAGATTGAGACTGAGAGAACTGAACTTAAGGCCAAGATTGCCGAACTTCTAAAACAGGGTGTGGAAGAGAACAAGAGGCATGATGCTGAGAACGCCGAGCTCAAGATCAGAATCGAGAAGTTGGAGAAAAACAAGGCAGATTCTTCAGCTGAGAATGTTAGGCGTAATGTTGAGATTACTGAGATTAAGGCTGAAATAGTGAAACTAAGAGACAATAACGAAGAAAACAAAGAGCCAACCTTCCTTCAATCAGATAATATTTCTAAGGAAATGGTTTCAGGAAATGAGCAGAACAATAATACTATAGATTTGAATACTAACACAATGAATTCAAATACTAGCGAAGCACCTTTTGGCAATATTCAGATATCCAATTCTGTAGTAGACCAGCTAAATAATGAAGTAGGACGAGCAGTTACCTTTGGTGACGCAACTAGTGATAATGCCAACACCGAGTCATTGGAAGATAAGGAAACGGATGATTTCTTGGATAAGGTGCATAAGAAAAAGATTAGTGATGAGATTAGAGAGAGAAAGCGGGAGGAGAAACTTCATCGTGAATCAATTGCTTAGGACTCACTTATTTCTCGCAATATAAAAACCATTCTCTCAGGGAACGATTAAAGTCATGTGACTTCGAAAACTGAAGTATCTGTGAAGCAAGACGATGACATGATTCCAGAGGAATCGCTTGATAAAAATCAAATTGTAGAATAAGGCCTAATACATGAATTATGTTTATCCATATCACCTGAAGATAATGTCAGCTCTACCGAAATCATAAGCTCATGCTTTAGTTTGGAGAATATGATTTCGGGTTCTGCCCAGCACTTATCTTATTTATTTGAAACAGCAATAAAATCCAGTCAGCAGGAAATATTAGACTGGCACAATTATTCCTTTGAATTTGAGAGCAAGTTAGGTGCTTTTACGGCTGATGGTAGAATTAAGGATAAAATGGCAAGATCAATGATTTACAAGGAGATGAAACCATTTTTCTCCACTAAAATCACACAAGCTAACTTGCGCAAAAAAACTCATAGGGCCAGAAAACATCTCATGTTATTTGGGAAAAATGGGGTTGGAATAGATAAAATTAAGCTGGTCTCATATAGCGCAACTGAAATTTCGAAACTAACTAATGCACAAATCCAAAATGTCATAAATCAAGTAAAAAAATATACTAGCGAACATCAGAGTCATGTGAATTTAAAAACCGTTCCCTCGGGGAACGATCAGATTAGGCTAAGGTAAGTATATCGGCAAATATATTATCTTCACCTCAATCTAATCCAACTTATAACCGCACTTATTTTCGTAACAAGACATTAGATCAATATCCCAACTTATATAGAGAATATAGTAGTGAAGACTTCGATTATTATGGCATTACTGATAAGACATTATGCCCATTATGCAAGTTAGGTCATGATGATGAGGAAAGTATAGAAGGTAGATATAAAACCGGATCCTATTTTATTAAGTGTGAACAGTGTGAAATTGAGATAACTGCATAGTCTCGTTATTTTACAATATTGTATATTTGCGTTTCTCTTGAGAAACTTTTTTTTTTACAGGGCTAATCTACGTCGACTATACTTACTATAAATTAAATTGATTTGCAATCATATAAAAAGACAATATGATCAAGTCCGATAAAGTATTAACCCCCGAATATCTAGATTGGCATGCCAAATTAAGTGGGTTACCAAGCGTTTTGACGGATAAAATTCGCTCTAAATTATATAAAACATATAAAAAAGAAACTGGAAATGAGCCATGGCAATTACCAAAAGCTGTGATAAATATGTCAGCAGAATCTCAAGCCTCTGATTTCAAGCCTATCACCTTCGAAGCCAAACCCGATCCAGAATTAATTATCAAATCTGTCTTAGAGCGCTTCACATACTTGAAATTCCGAAATAGTTATAGGGGGATCGATAATTATAATTTTGCATCACTTCAGCCGTGGAGCTCACCGTGCCCTATTTGCAATGGAAAACATGGAAATTATGGATTACAAGGCTCATAGTATCGCGAAAATGGGAATCAGTTCCCTTATGATCCTGAATTAGCGAAGTTGTATTCCCAAGATAAGTTGGAATATTGTTTTACCTGCAACACTTCAAGCAATAAACTCAAGTTCGCGATTGTGGCTTAGACCGGAGGAATTATGAAGAAAAAATATTCGTATATTATTTCGTTTCTTTTTTTTTCGAATCTCGTGGATGGCTTATGCAAAAGAAACTGGAAGCAGTTGATATCGGGAAAATTCTTGCCGAGATTTTTCTGAGTACGTCATTGAAATTAAAGTTTATCATATGATTAACCGGTAGATCCCGCTTCTATTGGTTGGAAGTGTGAAGAGTCTTCACGATTTATCATATGATATAGCATGTATCGTGGATACGTCTCCTTTGCCTCAAGAGAAATATCGTTCGAAAAAATAATCGTGTATAATAGTCTACAATCATAGAATGGCATCATATACCCAGGGCTAGTCCCGCTCCATGTAATTTATTTTAGCTCAATGTATTGCAAATAAAAAACGTTTAGGGTACTGAGTTGACCCGCGAAATGTAGTCAATTATTTTTCTCGTGGCGATTGGTACAATCTTTTAGACCATACATACTAATCTTTTATTGCTCGAGCGTATATGCATGTTAATACAGGGTAATTTAGGAAATCTGGATCGGCAAATTATTGGGCAATATGATTGCCAGCGAAGATCCAGGGACTTTTATTCTCAACCTTTCTTGCATATTCTCAAAATTATTACGTATATTATTAAAAGGCCCCTTGATGATCTTTACATATGGATAACGTTAAATTCTTTTATTGTTAAATTAAGGAGAGTCCGTTGATCAGATTTTCGTGATGCGATCATATTAACGTAATTTCCCCAAAAAGCGTATTCCAAAATCGATCCTGCAAATTATATAAAAAGGCGATGTCCTGGTTAGTGGACCCTTTTATCCACCTTGCGCAAATATAAGCAAGCGAAAAATCAAACAAATTTCTAATAAAATTTCAAACCTACAATTATTTGCATCATCGATATTTACAATCAAATAATCCACAAAGTAATAATAAGGTATGTTGGTTTTATTGCTCTGATAGCTTTTTGAAACATGTCATCACGATCTTAATCGATTTTCTGCTATAGATGTTCCAAAATAAACCAGACATATTACTTCCTCCGGTCTTCTTGTTATATATCGGCATTTTGATCTTCGCCGAGAAAATCACTGACCATCATCACGCGTACAATGGACGCAGTGAAATTACTCACATGAATCTCGTCACATGCAACTTCACAGGCGCAGTATATCAAATGGCATAAGCATCTTCACGTGCCGAATTCTTGCAGTCGGGTGATAACGCAGAAAAATCAAGTAATCAATTCCTTGTATGAGGCGGAATGGAATATTGTGAAAACGAAGTATATCGGTAAGTGTGAATTGGAAATACTGTATTATTTTTTTTTACCTCAGTTGCTAATCTCCCGAAATTATGCTGTAGTTTCGAAATTACTTAATCTCGGAGAAGTTTTCTTGCGGGGAATATTATTTTGTATTGTCTGTGTGGGTGAGAGAGATATAGATAGGCGTAGAAATGGGTGGGATAATTTATTTCAGAAATCTAGTGTATAGATGGGGCTGAGAATCTCGTAGTTAGCAATAGTGATAGAAACAAAATAGCTATAGAAATTTATAAGAAATAAGAAATAACTTGATGCTGGGACTCGCATTAAATGGCCTAGGATCCGCGTACTCCCTCCCTCTTTGATAGCATCATACATTTCATTTGTGGTTCCTGTACTTCAAATAAAATTGGTTTTTTGCTGAAAAGCCAAACATCCACCGCCAATTGGGCCGAACATGGAACATTTGGAGGAAGTGAACTCAGTTTGCCAACGCCAATTGGGTCTGTACTTGACAAACTGGCCTTTTTCATCAGGAAATCCAACAAATGACCCTTGATGACAAATCTTCTCACCGCCAATTGGGTCTGTACATGAGTAGATTTGGGCAAAGTTTCACATTCCCAGTTTGCCACCGCCAATTGGGTCTGTACATGACAAACTGTCTTTTTCATAAAAAAAATTTCGTCACTTAAGTAGATCTGAGTAAAGTTCGTTGTTCCGAAAACAGATTTACAGACGCGTCTCACCTAATACAGTATTTTAAATGTGTAACATCTTTCCCAGCATGTGATTTGTGGCGAGTTGTTGGGTGGCACATACATTTTGATTACCTAATACTGATTTCTCACTGATTCATATTTTAATATTTTATTGTGTCTCCAAAATAAATGATGTAATTGCGCATATGATATCAGCCACAATGTTTGTGTAACTCTGTGATCATTTGACCAGCCTGTGTAATGTTGAGTGACCCAGTCTGTATTAAAAAATAAAATTAACATTTTCTACATGACGTTCACTTCGGAAAAGACGCATTCTTACTTCACCTCAGTTAAAGCTGGTTTCTGGAGTTTAAAACACTATGTCGACTGGATTATAAAGAATGAAAGTGAATTACCGTTATGGGAAACGTGTTTGGCTGACTTTTACGGCTCGTTGGATTTTATAGTTTACCATAGATCGTTATCGCGACTCGATCGTGTTGTTGCTGAAAAAATCCTTAAAGCTAAAGAGGTAAATGTAATAACTAGATACTGATTCATTACTTTGATTGCACTACTTACAGAATCTTTCATGAATCAGCTTCCCGAAACCAAGGAACTTATGGAAGACCTTCGAATACCATACGAACAGGTATACAACGGAAAATATGGAAAATCTATTTATAAGGTTGGTTGATGCTGGGGCATTGATATAATTAATATTATCTGAATAGTAAACTTATATGCATAGTTTATCTACAATAGACTGTAGTGCATGTGCAAAAGGAAGAGAGTATATTTGCTTCAGCGAGCAAAAAAACGCGAACGAAAAAGGAGAAGGTATTTTCTTGATTTGAGAAAACATATATTTATAAATATTAACTCATCCTTGCTCGAAATTGAAAAAAGGATATTACGTCTCGTGCAACAATTACTACTGAATCCTCAAATGTCAAAGAAAAGGTAAGAATACAGTCACGTTAAGAGTACGGTCACTGACTTCAAGGTTAATTGCATGAAACTGATATATAACTTCTCTAGGGAGAACCTTCATTCCGTAGATCGCCTCGACCGATGAAACGTGTTGATTATTCTGAAATGGGTGACTCGGACGAAGGAAAGAAATCTGAAAAAATAAGGAGACTGAATAGTACCGCTCATTCGCAATCGACGGAATCTCCACAACCTGTACCCAAAACCCCACCACAAGCTCCACGCGATTTAACTCCGTTGGAAATAACACATAATAAGAGACCGTTAAATAAAGAGGAAATTCAACAGTAAGTCCTATTTTCTTATCACTTAACGAATGAGAGGCATTCTTATAGTGTCCTGCCTCATAAATTCCCCCAGATACTCTGAAGACATATCCGTGATATGCGCGTTTGATAAGTCGGTTGCTGAGTTGACTTTAGAAATCGGCGCGGAGCTTACAAACAAACTTTCTTCTGTACGCGACACTAACCCTGAAATATGGACGCCCGAATTAGAAAAATACATTGACAATGTCCTAAAAAAATCCGGAAAACAATTTAAAAATGCTACATTAGTTGATGTTCCGGACGACCTTTTCCGATTGTACTGTGAGAAAGTCCTCCTTGATTTGTAAGTAAATGTTGAGGCTTATCAGTTAATCAAGAGAAAATACTGACAACTACTCTTTAGCTACAATCTAGTTGATATTAACCCCACGATGGACAAAAAGATAGGCGAACGTAAATACATAACTTACCAAATCTCGTCAATTTATAAATTTTATGAGAAAACATTCTTTAACCTCGATTTTGACTGGATCGAGTCTCACGCCCGCTCTGCAAGAATTACGAAATCCGAGACAAATTCAGGAATTGTCAAGGTAGATTCCATAGCGACCAGACATTACGATGGATTAAGTATATGGCACATGGAGGTAGCGGGCGGACCATGTAACGCAACAGACACACACGCCTTGGGCGATACAAAAAAAACACTCCGCATGGATGTGTTAAATTTGATTGCAATATTGAGAAACCATTTTGATTGCAGTGTGGAATTCGCTACAAAAATAAAAGTTTTTTGTACCCAGGTTATTGGTAAGTGATATGTCTGTATGGCTAGTGAGGTTGAATTTTCTGTTACTTATGTTTTACTTTTTTAGGCACTCGGATGACTCTGTATGCACTTAGTATGCTCCCAGATGGAAGGTTTATCTCTTCGGAACTTGCTACCGCAACAGTCCCTTTTAGCTTCTATGGCCGGAATCAGTTCAAAGCTATTTTCAGGATGATGGCCATTTTTCATGTATGTGTATCTTATGATCTGCATTTATATTTTATTTCCCAAAATACTTATTCGGTGGTGGTACTTTTCTCCAGAATGAAATAACGAAACAAGAAGAACTTATGGGCGAGATTGATAGAGTTGTACTTCGATCCAAAGGAACAACAGTTCGGCACGTATTGAAAATCCCTGAGGAATTATTCGAGTGAGTTTATGTATTTAAGTTAGAATATAAAATAGACTTACCGTAGATATCAGCTGTTTAATAATATCCACAATAACATTAACCAATTACTTTTCGCTATCATTATATATTTTGCTACATATTTGATCTTAGTATTAATGCATAAATAGATGCTGTTTTGCGTTATGCTCAATGAGTGCACTTTCCGTATAGTATCAATGATTAGAAAACTGATTATGAGTTAGTATTATTGGGGTGATGACCGGGATGTTTTAGTATAGAAAATCTTCTGCAGGATTTAATCTACATATCATAGCACATACGTTGTATCAAGAATGATTTTTATGATGACGTATTGTGCATTGGAAAAATAAAAAGATGTTTTCGTATACATAATAACGTTTTTGCTTTATTGCACGGATGTCAATGTGTATTAAACTACAGATCGAAATTTTATCCTGAATTATTAAAACCGTTCCCTCAGGGAACGATCAAAATTTCCGATCATTAAATTTTGTCCCGTTTACCAGAAGATAGTGTACTGCGCCGTTTCTTCTGCGCAATTAAGTCGAGCCCGGCCATCAGATAGTCATATATACAATTACGAAGTGCCGCTATTTCGGGAGATAAATTTAACCGGATGCTGATCCCGCTTCTGCGCATTTTTGACGAGCTCAGACACCGTGTCCAGACTCTACCATCAGAAAAATAATACATTTTTGCATGTGCATTTTATTCGTAATCATTTTCCCGAATTCCCGTTATGCTTATCCGGCTAAAGAAAAATCCAAAATCTGATTGGCCGATCATCTTGTGATTTATAGAAACTCTGGAACTCTCCTGGAGCTATCGAGGAACTGGCAGGGATCTAGGGTGATACATGTGATATGATATACGTCATGCCACAAACCGATTTAGCCAGGCGCCGTGCATATGCATGTAAATATAAAATTAATCCTGACCCTATATAAATCCTGATATGCTTGTA